ATAATTTGTCATATCTTTCTTTAGATGGGACTGCTATTGAGGAAATACCTTCATCAATTGAACGCCTTGTCGGCCTTGTTACACTGATTACAAGTAATTGTAAAAGTCTCTTGAGTCTCCCGAGTGGGATACGCAATTTGAAGTGTCTTACGGATCTGGGTATGGGGGGATGCACAAAAATTGACAAAATTCCAGGGGAGATGTTGTTGTCTTCTCTAAATCGTTTAAAGTATTTGGATTTGAGTAATTGTAATATTGGTGAAGGAGTCATCCGTGATTATATTGGCTGCTTGTCTTCTTTAGTAGAGTTGATTCTTAGTGGAAACAATTTCGTTAGCCTTCCCTCAGGCATTAGATTCCTTTCTAAGCTGGAGCAACTTATATTGGAGGGCTGCGAAAGGCTTGAGCAATTGCCAGATCTTCCTCCATTCAGATCCACCTTTTTACATGTAAGTGTAAACAATTGTACTTCTTTAACAAGGTTGTCAGATCCATCAAGGTTGAGCGGAGGAGCCAATGTGTATGATTTTGATTTCACTTGTCTTAATTGCTTCAAATTGGTTGAAGATGAAGGCTGGATTAATAGAATATTTGCAATGATACTGAGAGCGTACTTTCTGGTATTTACTCTCGGGAATAAATATTTCCTTTTAAATGATATTGTATACCCTGGAAGTGAAATTCCAAAGTGGTTCAGTAATCGAAGTGTGGGAGATTCAATAACTGTGGAGCTGCCTCTGCCTCCACAACCACGAAGCGACTGGGTTGGGATTGCTTTATGTGTTGTTTTTCATGATTCTGAATATTTGGATAATCCAGACGCCCTTGATGAATATGAATATTTCTACATTCAATCATCTCTGAAAGATGTTAATGGGTGTGAATGGTTTGGAATCGGGAGTCTTGAGTCAGAACACCTTTGGGTTTTTTTTTTGCTTCGCGATCATCCCAGCCTCACGGATGCCTCAAGCAGTCAGCGGGTTTCGTTCGAAACGCATTATTCTCACGCATTATTTTCCAATTAGAATAGGTTTGGAAAAACTCGAAACAAGCTCAAATATAAAGGAATGTGGGGCCCGTTTGGTGTACGAGAGAGATTTGGAAGAATTTAGCCGAATACTGAAAGTCCCAAAGCCAGCACTGCATGCATACGATGACGAGGATGACGATGATGAACCAGGAATTGGTAGCTCTGATGACGACGATGAACCAGTCTGCAAAAGATTGAAGAAAGTCTAAATTATTTTGTGCTTGGTGCAATCAGTCAATGAGGTCTCAAAATAATACTTGAAAAGCTAATGACGATGATGGTCAATCCTCAGAATTCATCTCAGTAAGTCACCTATTTTTTTCATTTTTCTTTTTAGCTACTGTTTAATTTGCTCTGAAACTTGTCAATCTGACTGACGGAAGGACACTATCCATCTATCATGGTGTAATAATACTTGTCACTCATCTAGTTTCAAATTTGACGAAAAGCAAGGGATGCATTGGTGGCATTCACAAAGTTTCAAATTTGATTGCATCATATTTAGTTCTTATATTAGGTAGGAGGAGAGAGAGTAATTCTCTTGTTACATTTTGTTTGTATAGTTTGCAGGATATGCTGTGATTTTGTGTTCCTCTAATTTTGTGCTATTTCAATTGCTGTGTCAGGTTTTATTGTTTTCACCAATTGCTGTGTCAGATAATGTACTGAAAACGGACAAGTAAGGTGTCTGTATTCCATGAAAATGCACAATCTGAATGAACATTTGCAGATGTTGCCCAACTGAAGCATTTAGAACTGCACACTACTGAGTGAACATCAGGTTTTATTGGTAACTCAGGAGGTATCTTGTTGTGCTTAAATAAAATGGTTTCTGCATATTGTATATGTTGTGCTCTAAGAATATAATCTTATTAAGTAGTTTTGTCTGAAAATGGACTAAGCCTGCATGTAGCTACTTTTATCAATGTGTTAATTCAAAATGAGAATTTCTCCTATGTTGCAAACAGAAAACAACACAACAAATCCTAAAGTGTATATATGCTATAGATTTACAAAACTAACTTGTGCTCTGATTCCAGGACTTCATTTTCCCCTAAATTGTTTGCCCATTTTCTAAGTTCGAGATATTTTCTGAGCGGATATGACTTGGTTTAACTTGTTAATTTCAATGTGTTACAATATTTACTTCCTATAGGCCTTGAGTACAAGAACATTTTCAGAGCAACCTTTCAATGCTGTGCTATCAAACCTTTGCTATAGTGAAATATGTGTGGAAAATGTTAGTATAGTTCTAAGTCTTCTGACCATAGTTACCCAAATCGCTCACCCCCTTACGAATTTTGAACTGGATCGCACGCACCAAATTGTGGTACGTTAGCATTCTGGAATGATACATTTAGCGAACCAAAACTCATAAGGATTAGAACAATACCTGAGCGACCTTGCTGCCCAAAATCGATTGGTTGTTCCAATCATCAACTTAATAGGGTGGTAGGAGAGCGATAGAGGGGGCCATGAAAAGAGAGAACCATGGAGAGAAAGCGATGGAAACAGAGAGCCATGGAAACAGAGAACAATGTGTTAGAATATTTAGGCTTTGAGTAAATGAACATTTTCAGAGCAACCTTCAATTTCGTGCTACGAAACTGTTGCTATAGTGAATTAATGTGTGGAAAATGTTAGTATTGTTCCGGGTCTTCTGACCAAAAGAAAAAAGGGGAAAATAGTTAATAATGGCGAAAGAATGTGTGTGAAAAATCTAGGAGAAAAGGATGAAATTAATAAGAGGCAGAGAGAATTGTAACTATTGTAAGGATATCTCCTATGTTTCCACTACATTGAAATGAGTAAAGTATTTCCTATAATATACAGCTTCTGTAGATTTCTCTAGAGCTAAGATTATTTACAAGGAATATGGAGATATGAATCAGCAGTTTTCCTTAAGTTTCTAGGGGAATGTTGAGGTCTTGTTATTGTGAGGTCAGCACCATGCTTTAATGTATGCTCTTGGTTCAGCTGACTATCAGTGTGAAGGTTAAGAAATGAAAATAGCTAGGCTAATGGCGAATACAAGAATAAAATATGTATCTGTTTTAGGCATAACAAGAAGTTTAGAAATAAGATTTATTTGCTACTTTAATTCTCAACAGAACATATGAGGTATCGAAATGAGGAAGGAAATTTGCTACTTTATTTTGATTGGTCATTGCTGCTTTACGATTATAGCTGCTTTTGGATTTTGCAGCAGGCATGTAAATTTGCATCTTTGCTGTTATTTAAATTTATTTCGATATGAAATCAGGAAAGGAAAGGAGAGGTGGTTAGTTGATAAGGGAAGAAAGAATAACAGAGAAGAAGAAGAGGCAAAAGGAACTGTGAGTTTTAGCTTTACAAAGACATTAGCAGAAGTGGAGCAATTAACTTAATTAGATTTTGAAAGGTGCTGGACATAGCCTAATGTGGTTAAGCAAAATCAGCTTATTTTCATTGCTAATTGCTATAAAATAAAATAAAAAGATTTTCCTCTCTTAATTTCTTTTCAGTTCTCTTGGAAAAACAGTTGGCATTATCTGCTTGGGAAGAATTGGCAAAGCCAGAGTTGAAGTACTAGGAATACTATCTAAGTTCCATGGAGTTAGTTGGTTGTGTGAACTCTGATCACTTCTGAGGAAACCAATGACATTGTCGATTTTTAAGTCACTGATGCTTGCTTTCCAAAGGGTATTCTCGTTAACATTGGAAGAGGCCTTAATGTTGATGAACCTGAGTCTCTGCGCTGCTGGATGGTTTCTGCTGAAATGGTTAGTAACTGAAGCATTTAGAACATGGTTGGTAACTTGGGAGGTATCTTATTCTGCTTGAATGGTTTCTGCTGTAGGTTCAAGTCCACTCCACATGTTGTATATGTTTGATACAGTTGGGCAGGTCATCCCCAAATTTGAGATTTTCTTTAACTTCAAGTTGTGCTACTTCAACCAATGTGTTAATTAACATGGATAGTTTCTCAAGTCTCCTATGTTTCTCAAGTCTGCACTTACCTCTTCTTTTGGTGTTTTCCTAAATTGTTTGTCCTTTTACTGTGTTCGAGATATATTCTATGGTCCTTGCTTATGACTTGGATTGACTTGTTAATTTCAATGTGTTAGAATATTTACTTCATATAGGCCGCACCAGAGCAACCTTTCTATGCTGTATTATCAAACTATTGCTATAGTGAAATACTGTGTTAAAAATGTTGGTAGAGTTCTGAGACTTCTGACCAAAAGAAGGGAAAATAAATTTTTTATTTCCTTATTTCCTTATAATGGTTTTCCTTTCTTATTTTAATTGAAGGCTATGGTGATGAAAGGATTACTAAATCTGGTGAATACGGAAGGTGCTCAAGTTGTAGAAAAACAGTGCTGGCTTGTTCTGCAAGGCTGGTGAATGGAGGACACATCAGCATAAAAGCTTTCTGGCCTCCCCTTTGTTATCTCTGCAAGTGACAAACTTGTTGGAACTCCTCTACAAGTTTGGCCTTTTGTGCTCCTTGTGGCAATGACCTTGCTCTTGTAATGGTAAAACAAATAAGAAAAGGAAATGCAAATATGGGGAATGACAAATCCAGCTAAACCTCTCAATCCAAGAGCCATCTCCACTATCCTGTTTTTCTTTCATGGACCCCAGCATATTGTGTTGTAGGACTTTTCTTGGGTCGAATTATTGTGTTTTAGGATAGCGCTTCTATAATGCAGGGCCTTGGATAAAATCGAATGGTCAGCTTTTAATATTTTCCTTTTGTTATAACCGGGTTGAAATTACCCGTACCAAAAGTTACAACCCGAAAGTGCAAAGCACGCTCTCTCATCCTTGTCAACCCTCCTCCCTGGCTCGCAAGCCAACAATTCTTATTTTCTTTCTGTCTCGTCATCTCTGGGAAGCTTGTAGTCGCAGATCTGGAACAGAAGAGTCTCTGATTGAAAGCACTGGTGGTGCAAAAGAATGGGGTTGCTGGTTTCTCTTCCATTCTTGAAATTTCATTTTTGTTTCAGATCTGTTTATCTAAAAGAATGGGGTTGCTGGGTGCAAAAGGACGGCGGCGATGCCAAGAGTTCTTCGATGAAAAGAGTCCTTGTGGATCAATATGCTTGATCCTTGAACTACTTGGATTTTTTTGGCGTTAGACTAAACGGGAAATAATATTAAATTACGTGTATTTTTTTTGCGAATGAATATGCTTGATCCTTAAATTACTTAGTTTTTTAAAGTTAATTAATATAAATTAAAAAATTTATGACGAGCATAGAGTAGTAAACAGTTCGATAAATTTTATGACAAAATCAATCTCCATGTGTTTCCCTAGGGGATAATATATATATATATATATATATATATATATATATATACAGAAATTCTCTTATGCGGACATCCGGACATTATTATCGTGCGGACGCAGTGTATTTTGTACTACCTCTCTCTGTTTTCTTGCCTGTTTACAATAGGATCCGCACGATAATAACGTGCGGACATCCGGATAAGAGAATAACTGATATATATATATATATATATATGTAAATTAGACCCTAGCAACTAAAACAAAATAAGAAAATGCAGCCGCCATGACCATCTCTACAACAGGAGAAACAGCAAGCAGAACAACAAACTTCCAAACCAACAAAACAAACAAGAACCCCAAACCCAGTGGTGGTGGATTCCGCCTCTCCCATGATATTCTGGATCGAACCAGTGGAATTCTTTCCTCCAACGTAAAATAATAATAATAATAATAGTGTGGGAGTCCTATTATAACTCCAATAACCCTTCTTTTTGTACGCAAACAAGTATTAACGCAACTACACAATTGGGTTTGTTAGATATTCTAATATCAAAACTGAACTAAGAGCGCAATTACTTATAACTCAAGCCATTAACTCAGCAATTATTATGTGTTCAATTCCATCGGCATCAGTAAGCTTAAGAAAGAAAAAAAAAATATAAAAAACAGGACACAATCACTTTGGTGAGAAGAAAGAGAACGCATCCCAGCAAGGAAGTTTCAGTGAGGTGTTGTGGAAAACGTTAGCCCTTTCTCATTATTTCCTTTCTATAGTGGGGTGATGAGGTTTTCCACCTCTACAGCGCCCTCTCCTCTGTCTTTTATCTGAACTTTCCTGTGCAAACAAGCATGGACTAGACCAAAGCCAGTCACTTTGGTAGGAAAAGAAAAAGATAAAGAAAAAGGACACATCCCCCAAACCACGGAAGCTTTCCTTGAAATTTCCTTTAACTTTTTTGGTGGAAAACATTCGTCCTTTCACTTTGTAAAACGCTTTCACGTTTTTCCTTTCCTTTTTTCGTTTTTTTTTTTTTTCACATTGACCCTTGTTTGTACCATACCTA